CACCCTCGAACCCTCCCCCCCCAATAATCACGCCTTCGCCTCCCCCAGGATTGTCTCCACCTCCCTCCAATACCCCGCCTTATTATCCCTACGGCACCCCGCCTGATTATCCCTACAATATCCCACCTGATTATTCTTACGATACCCCGCCTGATTATCCCTACGACACCCCCCCCCCTCTCGCGTCACCCCCTCCAGCTACTGATCCACCCTTAAACCCTCCCCCACTGACACTCGCCCCTGCGCCTCCCCCTGAACCGTTTCCACCACCGCCTGTCGCAAACTTCTCGCCCCCACTCGGTAGCCCCCCTCTAGTGCTTCCAATCTTTTCACCCCCTACCGTTAGTCCTCCAGTTTTCAATTTCTCCCCGCCTTTCGTCGCATCGCCCCCGCAAATACCCTCTCCGCCAAAACTTATCACTCCCACCCCCCCCGGCGCCGTTCTCTCACCTCCGACAGAGACATCCATTCAGCCGCCCCCCGAGGTTACCTTCCCTCCCCCAGTAGCGAATCCACCACCGAATACAACTGCGTTCAATTCCCCCCCTCTTCCCATCGTGCCACCTGCTGCCACGCTTCCCTCTCCCCCCCAGGCAGGAATCCCGTTACCGCCAGCTGTCGCTTTCCCTTCACCCCCCCCTGTAATCACGGTTCAGCCTCCGGGGGTAACTTCGCTTCCACTTCCAAATTCGCCTCCCGTTTCCCCTCAACCTCCGCCCAATACCACACTCCCGCCTTCGCCCCCTGTGACCTTTCCACCCCCCACAGTTCCGTCTTCTCCCCTGCTGACGTCACCTCCCCCCGCAACGTCGCTTTCGGTCACCCCCCCGACTCCTTTCCCCGCTTTTACCCCACCCCCAACCCCAACCTCGTCGGTTACGCCTACCGCCTCGACTCCCAACGGAACCAACCCGACTTCGACACAGCCGGCATTAAACCCGACTTCGACTGAACCTACCACAAACCCGACAGAAACTCCTGTGGTCACGACTTTGCCGCCAATTGGATCCACTCCTCCGCCAACCGTAACGACAAACACTTCTACAGCACCCCCAAGTGTAGCCACTTTCCCGGAAAATGCAACCTTAACCCCGGTCGAAACCACGTTCCCCAACCCCCCCACGGTTCCCCCGACAGAAGCCCCTGTCTCTTCCCTGGAGCCCGGTACAACTGCTCTCGGTTCTACAAACAGCCCACCAGTGCCAACCGGATCACTTCCGGTCCCAACCGTCCCTCCTTCCGTAACCGCTGCACCGTCGGGGCTTACAATCGGTCCCCCTAACCCGACCGCCCTTCCCCTAACCACGACTACCCTTTCTCCGACCGCAACTTCTTCCCCCCCAGGCGCTGTCAACACCCCCACGACAACCCCTGTGATCGACATTCCTGGTGTTATAAGTACCAACCGGCCAACGGATGTTGTCCAGCTGATGGGGGGGCCCCCTTCTGACGGGACTCTTGTCACGGTCGACGTCACGCCCGCTCCCAGCTCCCCCGTTCAAAGCACTGGTGCTCCGGGCACGGTGACGTCAGCACCGGATGGGACCGCTGAGCCGGGGGAAACGGCGGTTCCAGTCGCGACGGGCGTTAGCACGACTCAGGGCCCTGTGTCCGTCCAAACGCTGACCGTAACCCAGCCTCCGGTTATCACCCAAACCCCGGTTGGATCTCAGCCCCCAGTCGTAACCGCAACCCCGATCTCAACCCAAGCGCCGGTCACAACCCAAACCCCGGTTGTCAGTCAAACCCCGCTTGGATCTGAGAACCCAATCGTAACCGCAGCGCCAACCCAGTTGCCGCTTACAACCCAAACCCCGCTCGTTACGCAGTCCCCGGAAACAACCCAATCTCCGGTCACATCCCAGACCCCGGTCACGACCGAGGTTCCTGAATCCACTCAAACCCCGACAAGCTCCCAGTCGATCCTAGTTACAACCCAAGCACCGGTAACCCAAACCCCGGTTACCACTCTTTCTACCAGCCCGACAAATACTCCAGTCAGTTCAATCTCCCCAGTTCCCTCCTTATTGCCCATTCCAACGGTCTCGCCTAAGACGCCGAGCCCCACTCTAGTTACACCAGCCCCGGTTCCCACCCCCAAGCCCACCGTCGCCCTGCTGACGTCACCCTTGACGCCCGTCCCCACCCTAGCTGACGTCACCACGCGGCCCCCGGTCATCGTTCCGACCGAAGTCCCCGCTTCGAACGTCATCGGCGCGAGCACCACGAACACGATAAGCGTTCCGGGGCTGCCCGGAGAGTTTCAACCGGCCGAACCTTCGCAGCTCTTGAGAACCGTGAAATACCTGCAGTCCATCCCCGGTTCTGCCAAGTTTGCGGCCGGGTTTAACAGCCCGACGCCCCAGAACTTTGGCGGCGTTCTGCAGGTGAGAAGTTGGAAGTGGGCTTCATGACAGTGTTTGGATTCGGTCACTGTATCCTTGCACAGAAGAGTCTACCGTGAACGTGTGCGAGTTTCAACGAAAAGCCGATTCTCCCAGGTCTCTTTGTCTCTCAGTGCAATAAGAGCGAGATTCTGAACAAAAGGTGTGGACGAGCGTTTCTTCGGTAAAAAGCTTAGACCACATTTTCTTCTTTCCATCTCACCCAGACCTCCTTAGCAATTCTTCAAAGACGGAAGTGCTCTTCCTTACGAGTTTTAGATCCTTGTAAGGATGCCAAGTTCGCTAGGTGTCAAGTTTCTGAGTTCGTGTCTTCGTTTCAACGTGTGCTGCAGGTTCCTAAAGCCAAGGACTTCACGAATGATGCCAAAGTGACCATTCCGTATCAACTCACCGGAGCTACGGCAGCCCTCTGCGGGCCCACGTGCACGGCTCTGTGCCAGGTGAGGTGACACGTGGCAAACTCAGAAAGGAAATGTGTCGGGAAAAGGATAGTTCAAAGTTAGACCGATGCTTCGGAATGGTGAAAGGAAATGGCGTATGTTTTGAAACAACGGAGGGTGCAGTTTGTGTTTTTGCAGCACAGGTCCTGAAACAGATTCGATGGCATCGTATTGCGCGTAGGGTAATCTAATCTAGTCTTCGCTGAAAGAAAAAGCGCACGCTCAATCCCTATAGTGCGTTACGTTGATCGAGACCGAGGTCTGGTTGCATCAGCTTCGCTTTCTGTCTACCCCTCACTGATTTCAACTTTGATCGATTTCCTCTTCCAGATCGACGACGGAACCCCCGAGCCGTGCGGAAACTCCAACGCCGTGTCCAAGCCGGGCGACCTGTCAGACGGCTACCACAGGGTGACGGTCGCCTTTTACCCCGCCCCGGGGGCGTCCGCCCCTGTCGCATTACTCAGCACCTTCTTCACCGTTGGTGAGTGCCGGACGTCTCTTGAGTTTTCTACGAGATCAGGCAAAAGAGAAACGAAGTGTTTGATCTTGTCCGATCTAGTTTGCAGACACGAAGCATGGTTCCAACTTTCCAGATGTGGGGATGTGTCTCGGCAGAGACGCTTTGGAAGGTTCTGCAGTCATGTGAAGCTTGATTCGCCATAAGTACCAGACTGGCAAAGCGTCTGCAAGGTAGAGGAAGCTGGAGACTTGTGTATAGCCATCCAGAAAACAATATGCAGGAAATTGAGCTTTGCTCCGTTACAGGTCGACCAGATCAATCCTGCTCATTTACTGTGGACGTTCACATTGGCTCCGGCCTGCTGATTCAATTCAGCGTCCAGCCTGCTGACGTCATCTCAGCTTCTACTGACGTCATCTCAGCCCCTTCGACATTGGTTTCCAGGTCAATCCGAAAAGCTTGCTGTGAGCGGTAGACTTAGCGGCACCCGCTTTTGCAGACACCACCGACCGGCTCCTCGCGAACTGACAGAATCATCAGCAAGTTTTCCGGGAATTCATTATGACCGGGAGTTCCCCTTGAAGAAGCGGCTCGCTCTATCGAGCCCAAAGCGTTTGAAAATAACTTACTTTTTCTCGATCGCAGGTTTTCGTCCGCATATGAGGGCGCCTCTGCTAATCTGGACGTCCTAACCTCCGCGTGACTATTTCACCACGAGCTTATGAGAGGAATAAAAATTGTATACGTATCTTCTTTGCAGACACGGTCTCTCCAACTATTGAGATCGCCTTAGAAGCGGACAGCACCGAGTCCCCCCAGATCTTCATCGACGCCTCCACGGGCCAGCAAACCGTCTTCTTGACGTGGGCGACCATTCAGCCTTGCCCCGGGTATGCGGTCGCCAGCGAACCGGTCGGTGATTTGAGCCCCGATTCCTTCAACCTGGAGGGAGCCCAGATTGTGAACTTCAAGAAAGAAGCTCCGGCGGGCGGGGCGCGAAGAAGGGCGCTTTTGCAGGCGACCGCGCAGGGGGGGGCATCGTCGGGAACGGTCGCCTACAGCTTTCAGGTAAGGGCTCAAACGGTGACTGAGAAAGCACTGTTCAGGACTGAAAGCTGCTTCGACTTCAAGTCTAAAGCTGCTGTTTTCGTTGCAACAAGGAGCATGGCTGGATCAAATTACTCGATTTCTCTGTTCCGACTAATATCGGCGTGGCTGGTTCGTCATCAAACGCTGAGTGTGTCGAATGGTCGCGACTACGGGCCCTGAGTGTCCCAGCGCGCGCGCTGTTTCACCCCAAAGTGACTCCTTCTGTGCCCCTTGATCCAGTTTCAATACAGTCAATATATGTTCAGAATATGCGACCAATCAAGTTGGTTTTGTAATTCTGATAACACTGGCATACTCGGAAGATGAATCCCCGGTTGCTTACAGGTGGTACCGGTCGGCTCCGGCCCTCAATTGCTGAGAGTTGCGGTCAACCCGGGGAACATTTTCGACCTGGCGGGGAACCCCATCCAAGTGACGTCGGAGTCCGCTTACGTCATCTATTACGGCAAGTCTAGCCTTCTCCTCGATTGTCCAGAGCCCACCGGTATTACTCAACAGTCTGGCCCAAAGGGCCTAGTGTCATTCTTTTACAACAAACAGATAACCTGAAACCCCGGCGCTCTTCTCTTTTGAAAGTAGTCGACAAGCTCTTGGCCCTACTCTGTCTCACGCAACGTTTTTGGCAGACCCCAATATTGCACCTCTCAGGACCTGTTTGAACGATGCACCAGTCATAGCATTCTGGAATCCGCCAAGGGCTTTCCTTGATAAGAGGGTATACTTGCTTTAGCGGTCATCTCGAGCGTGAAGTGCCCGCTCTCACGCGCCGTAGAGTATCAACTCGTGATAGGGCAGGGCGACAAGCTAAGCCGCAAACGCGCTTCCGGTCGCCATCTGCGTCTGCGTCCTCGCACCTCCTTCTTTACGGATGGCGTACCATTGGGGCCCTCAAACACGTTAGCACCGGTCAACCAATTGGCAGCATTTCATGCCCGCGAACAGAAATCGACACAATCGATTCTCGCAAACGTTGGCGCACGTTGTGTAGTTACCTCCGTGACGTCATCCTGTTGCGTCATTGTACAATAGTCCTTCACATTTGTTCCATTGTCGTTCAGACACTGTTCCCCCGAGCGCCCTCCTGCAACTGGTGAACAAGGATCCCAGTGGTGTGGTGTCACTTTCGGCAGACCCGGGGGTTTCCCCCGACCGGGTCGTCACGCTCGTGCTGTCGTTCGACAAGCGCGTTTCCGGATTCGACGCGACTTCGATGGTCATCCAGAACGGGACGCTGATTCAGTGAGTGAGCCTTTTAGATTCCGGAATATTCATAGCGAGGAGGCGAATCTCGGTAGAATGAATGTCGGAAATTCTCTGACGGAGGATCTTGAAGAATCTGGTGGCTGTAGGGCTCGCCAGTGGTTTACAAGCTCTAGTCTTAGAAAGAGCTTCCTGGGTTCCGCCAGAGTTGATGCAGAAAACTTCATTTGTTTGTGACTAGGAACCTATTGTTTTCTGATCGGTTTACGAGTCATCGGCTGCGGTAATGCTAATCTGCCCCCTTTCAGCTTTGGGTCTTTTCTACTGATATAGGTAACAATCCTCTGCAAAGTGCGCCGCCCAAGAGCCCGCCGCAAGAAGCGTTCTTAGAACCATTTTAAGACCGTTTTGATTTCGGTCCTGATTCATAGTGGCCCCTGACAGGCAATCAAGCCATAAGCATTGGCTCGCACTGTCAACCCAGCCCTGAATCCGTTCTTGATATTAACACGTGCTCAGTGGTTAATCGGTGTAAACTATTTTGGTGTCCGCTGCAGGGCCGGTCCGAACGCTGCCACCGCGGACGGCTTTTCGTACGTCCTAACCGTGGTCATCGACCCGAACGCTAACCTGGTGATCCAAGCCCCCGCGGACAGCGCTTACAGCATTGTCGGCCTCGGGAACACGGCGTCCAATCAGTTGCAAGTGCTCAACTGTAAGCGACTGTTCTCGCCAGCCACAGTGCGCCACGTGGCGGCTTGCTCTCTCGGCATTTGTTGTTCCCTCCGGCTTGGGCGCTTGCTCGTCCCGAAATTGGGAAGCATCTGCGAAGGCGGAAAGTAAAGCGCCGTGTAGATTGAAGCGCCAGAGTGATCTCACCATGCAAACGGTAACTTCAAAGTCCGACTAGCGCCCGTCGTGAGGGCGTTTAATTTGGTCCGCCCGTACAATGCTTTCAGTTTTGTGATGCGTGCAAAATCATCAAGTGTCAAATCGACTTTGGAGGTCGCTAAACAATGTCTTCTCTCCAAAAGGTCGTCCAGGCGTAATGAGCTTGTACAAATCCGCTTCTACTTTGAGAAGGAGCATTTTTGATACCGTTTAGGATGATGCGTTACGACCCTCCTGCCTTTATAAGCGTTGATTTTCAAACCCTCAAACACCGGCATGAGTTAATCTGAGAAGTTCGAACAGCTTTTCCGCGATAGAAGTGAATCGAGGCTCTTTGGAGCTATCTCAACACCCTGAAACCTTGAACCCTCGCAGACGACGTTGACCAAAGGCTCCAGACGGGCGTGCGCGCGGCCGCGATCGCGTCGCTGGGGGTAGTGGCGGCGGGAGGTTTCTTCGTCCAGGCGTCGTCGAGCTTGTTCATTGTGAGTGCAGACGACAGAGCTCCGGCAGTTTTGGCTATCATTGCCAAATCTCTCGTTTCTTGGTGCACGATGATTCGAGTCTTCCAGGCGTTTTCGCGCTTGTTCATTGTCAGTGCAGACTGGAAAGCTTCAGCTCTGCTTGCTTTCACGGGAAAACTTGGCTGTTAACCAGGCTGCGCATCAGAATCGAGTCTCAGGTTAATGGACGATGCTTTAACCCGGTTCAAAAATGGTCACCGCCCAAGTCTGCTTACTGAATAGTTGGCCGTTTTGTAACCAGCAAATAGCCAGCCCACAACCATTCATAATCAGGGGCGAAGAACTGCTATAATTCTCTCCACTAGCGTTTGTCTCTTGGCGCACTGGAGATTTACGGCGTGCCTCTTCGAGCTTGTTCCTGTTCAGTGCATGCTTCAGAGCTTTTGCTTTCCTACTGGTGATTAGCTTCTCTCGCCAATCAAGTTCCGAATCTGTGCGCAAGCTTTGCGGCGAGCTTCTTAATTGTGACTGGCGAAGTCTGCAGAGCATAGCGTCACCAAGAATTTTTGCCTTTTATCAAGGTTTCAGATGCATTCCCTAAGCAGCCTGAATCAGATGCTAAGCAGGACTTTCTATGTTGCTAAAAGCTCCTGTGAGCTGTCATGGAGGATCTCATGTAGGACCTTATGCGCTTCCTCAAAGAATCGCTCAAAAGCTCCAGAATATTGTCTAAGCTTCTTAAGGCTTCGAACCCTCAACAATCCAAACCTACATCCTTATGAGTTCCTAAAGTCCTTTCGTTGTTTCCGCAGAACGTGGCCTCCAGCTTGAGCTTGTTCGCCGCCCGCCAGAGTCTCAACGCTCCGCTCCCGACGCCCTACATCGACGCCAGTTCCGCTCTCTCCTTCTCCCTGTTCCGCTGGCCGTCGCCCTTTGACGGAATCACCCGCGACAGCCCTATTCCCTATACGGACCGCCCACAGGCGCTCAACTCCGGCGTTCCGCCCGGCGGAACGAACGGAACGCTAGCCGCTACGAGCGAGCGGCTCGGCCGGCATCTGCTGCAGTCCCTGCTGGGGAACGGAACATCGATCAACGGAACGGCTAACAGCGGAACGCCCACGAACGGAACCGCGGTGCCCGCTCCTCCTAACGGGACGATTCCGTCCGTTCCGTTCAACCTGTCCACAACGAACGTATTCACTCCGGCTAACACGTCGCTGGTCAATCAAGCTCGTCCCGTGACGTTCAGCAAAGAGAACATTTCGTACGAGGCGCGCGCTGAACTCTACAGCCAAGAGCTGAGTGTGAATACGCTCAACCTGTTCCAAACGGTGGGCCATAACGGGTGAGGAAACAAAGATGCGACGGGTGCAGATCGCACCGGCCTGCGTTTGGCGCTCGCGCAGCTTTCTTCATAGGAACTTTGAAACATTAGCGCAACTAAAACTTCAAGACTAGATTGTCTCTTTTTTTGGCATCCGTGCACAATTGAATCTGAAGAAGATTAGAAGCAGATTTCAGAAGAAAGGCACCAGTGGTGGTCGGATGGTGCTGTATATTGTGCATGTTATGGGGTCTATCCCGAACCCTGAGTTCTTAAGTGGTTCGTTTGGTTCAGCGTTCCGAGCACGGTTACGGCCATACCGACCTATCCCTTGATCGGATTGACACACCTTTTTCTTCCGACGAGCTGCAGGGGATTCATGTAGAGCTTGCTGTGAGGAGTTTTGGAAACTTTAAGAAAATTGAAAGGTTAACTTCTTTGACGGCAGCCACCCTCAATACTCAAACTACCTCCACCCGTCTTCCGGAGTCTGGCAATTCAATGAACCTTACTTTCTTTATAATAAGACGGTGCCTCTTCAACCCTCGGACTTGACAATCGAAGCGGATACTCAGAAGGGTTGAGTTGTTTCTAAACCCACGATCTTTCACATCCTCTGCAGGCTGCGCGGTCTTCTCCGAGCCGTGTTTTGGATCACCATGATCCTCCTTTCCATCGGGCTTCTCCAGCTGGCCTCAAAACCTCTGGCGCGGCTTCTCAAACGAGAATCGGTCCCCTCGTTCCTGGTGTTTCCCGCCCTAGAGCTGACCTTCTTCTCCATCGCAATCGTGGCGCTCTCATACGTCGCGCTGGGAGCGATCGTGGGTAAGTGGTGACACGTGTCCTGCAAAGATGCGCTACTACATTCTTAGAAGGTGCCATGATTAACCGAATGTTTTCTCTTCAATTATTTGTATCAAGTGGACATCACGTGAGGTTCCACTCATTAACACCAGCAGGTAATTGTCACGCACTCCCCAGGTAGATTTCATGCACACACCTAAAAGTTCAAGCTTCTCGAATTTGGATTCTTCCTCGCTTCCAGAGTATGCTCGGGTTTCAAATCATTCAATAGACACTGGTTCGCTCTTCGTCGAGTTCTTCGTATGAATCTTATTCGAAGTTTGCCCGACTCTCCCGCGCAGGTAAATCGGCAGCGGGCATCGTGCTGGGCCTGGCCGTTCTGCTCCTCATCCTAGTTTTCTTCTTGTTCGTGCTGTCAATCCTATGGCGCCACGTGGTCATGGTGAGGCGTCTGATCTTTGTGCCCAAGTGTATGCTACCCAAAGTTGCTACACAGCTATTTTCCAGCCCTTGCAATCAAGTGTATGTCCAACCATATCTATGGTTCTATAGTGCTTGCTTTAATTCGGCCAACAATCAGCTCTCTTACCGTGACCTCAGAACCTGCTGCTAGTTGAAGTGTGTCCTCCTCCCTCCGCTTGATCCCAATTCATACTCTGCTGATCAGAAGCTTTCAATCGCTGTTCCTCATCCCCACTCGCTTCTTATTGCCTTGATAGACTGCAACGCGCTCTTTTCCTTCTTCTTGAAGGTTTGCAACTCTATTCTTTCAAACCCCAAACTTGATTGCCGACTTCGGCTGATCCATGCGCTCAACTGAGTAGATATTGCCCCCCTTGAAGATGCAGATTCTTGAATCGTTCGCCCGATCGAACTTCCAAAAGTTCCAGACACGTTTCAAAGCGGAGTCCATTCTTAAATGTCAGGAACAACGTTCTTGAAAAGTTGCGGCTTCTCTCTCTCCAGAGCAAGTCGGTCGCCTTCGTTTCCGAGCAACAACGCCGCAGCAGGGGGGCCCGCGCGGCTTGGTTCCGAGCCCCCTTCGTCGGTTCGTGGGAGCCGGTAGATTCCGAAGAAGGCGACCTCTTTCGGGCGAAGTACGGGTACTTTTACGCCGACTACTCCGGTCGCCCCTCCGAACTGGTGAACATCGGCCCGCAGCTGATGCGCTCGGCGACCCGGAAGGGCGCCCCTACCTCTCTGTCTTCAAAATCGCTCTCCCGAAGAAGCGATTCGTGGTCTCCGGCCGTGGATTCCATTGTTTCTGGCGCCCGGGAAGATGATCCCGTGGAGGAGTCTTCCGTTCCGCTCACCGGTGATTCCGGCCCGGAACGGGAAGCGGGCGAGGACTCGCCTACCGAGGAGGACAGCGACTCATTGCCAGAGCTCCGGAGCGGCCCGCTTGCAGTCGTCATCGAAGTTGAAGAGGAGGAGGAGGAGAAGCACGTCATCCACGTCACACCCGCGGAAACAGATGACGTCACGCCAACGACAGCGGAAGAACAATTTGCCGCGAGAGCCACGTCGGTCAAGTGGGAGGCGCCGCTCGAGGCGGCGCCCGGGAAAGCGCCCGCGAAACTCGCCCGGTTGCAAAGCGTGCGGTCGGTTCACCGGGTCGGAAGAGTGGGCTTCGCGACGCACTTCCGGCCGGGGTGGAAGATGATGTACCTGCTGGTGGTGGTAAGTGAAGCGGCGCCCCGATTACGTGATTCAAGTTTTTAGCTTTAGATTGCCCTAACGTTGTAAAATACCTTTTAAGGTTCTTAGGGACGTGGAAGATGATGTACCTCCTGGTGGTGGTGAGTCGAAACGATTCTATTGGGCGCGAGTTACGGTGTGCGAACTTCTTGAATTTTGGAGCTCAAGTCCTGAGCTTTAATACGATCCCGTCGGTCCTCAACACGTAGCCAACTCAGATTCACACCGTTCCCATCTGTTTCCTTCAAAGTCGACCTCTTCCGAATGCAGGCCATCGAAGCTTCTCGATCTGCTGGCCCGCAACTCACGGCGTGCGCGCGCTTTGACTAAAAAGATTCAAAGCTGGGCCTCACGACCGCTCCCATCCTCGGTAACCGACTCGAATCCATATTGTTCCTATGTAATTATCGAACTTAGACTCGTTCCGAATGCAGGCCATCGAAGCGGCTCTGCTGGGCGCGACCCACGGCGTCCGCTCGTCGTACTGGCAAGTCTGCCTCATCGTCTCCATGCGCGGACTTCTCGTTATCGTGCTGGTCCTCCTTAAGGTGACGTCACAACCCCAAACCCGGCCACTTCCTCTAACTTCGTCTCCTGTTGCTATCTGCGTCTTCTAAAGCTATCTTTGCCTTTTGCCCGGCTTGAATAATCTGATCGGAACGGTTGAAACCGCCTCGTCGTTTGTAGCCAGTGCAGCTTATGCTTAGCAGCCGGCCGCTTTCCGCATATCAGCACAACAGGAGACACGTTCCTCATGAACCACTTTAACTGGTTCCGCTGCGTGGCTCTAACCAGACATTTCAACCGCGTTTTGCTTTTTCGATTGTTACCCTAGCGCCGCAGCCCTTCATTCCGCGTGCCCCTTCAGCGGGCCGAGCTGCTGTTCGGCAGTGCAGTTTGCCAACTTCGCTGACGTCACACTAACGTGTCACCAATCCGAAAGAGGCATTCAAAGCACCACCAACGTGACACATCGCGCGAGATTGCTTTCATCAATTGTAAAACAGCCAGCGTCTCTTCTGCCGCAGCCCTTCGTCCGCGCGCCCCTCCAGCTGGCCGAGATGTTCAGCACCGTGTGCGAGCTTGCTGTCGTCACGCTGGCGTTGGCGCTTGTGGTGAAGCAGGACGTCAACTCGAAGGGGCAGCTGCGCAAGAGCGAGGAGACACTGGGCTACACCATGATCGCGCTGCAGCTGCTGGCCATCTTCAGCGGCGTCTTCAACGCGTGAGCGCGCCGCGCGCTAGCCCCTTTCACGTGTCTTTTCTTTTTTCCCTCTTCCTCAGTGAGGGAAGTTCTCCAATGGAAAGATCCGTGCTCTGTGCTGCTGCTGTCACCGACGCTTTCGACCCGCTGGGAGTCTTCAGCGCAGATGTTCAGACGCGATATCGGTGCTCGATTTTGAATCCTTCGTGCTATCACCAACCCACAGGCCTATTCGCACCTCAGAAACATTTGTGGGCACCTTCTATTTAAGGTCTTCTACTGGTCAGGGTTCTGTGCGCCGCTTCTTCTTCCACTCCTTGATCATCTACATGTCTGAATAACAACGTCAGAATGATCGCTGCCATCGGCCGCGCCCTTTGGCGCGTCCATGCTCACGCAGTTGGCGCGCACGCTTGCAAAATGGTATTGCGCAAAAAAGATTTCCAGCGACTTTCTTTGTCACCGTGAAGTACCCTTTATCTTCTGGACACTTACTTTTCATCTTTTGATCGAATTAACAAGTCTTTGCTTTACGCGCAGGCTCGTTTCCATGACATTGAGACTCGTGGAAAACTTGTGGGGCAAGAAGACAGCGCTTCCGGTGCACTTCTAGCCGTTCCGGCCCACTATCATTGATCCGGCGGGAACCGGAGCGACACTGCGCCGTCTAGTGGCGGTCTCCGGAGCAATCTGTAGCAATACATAGAATGATATTTGTATGATCGCAAGCCAGGGGCTTGCACAAATCTCTGTACGGTGGGAGTTGCCACGTACAACGAAGTAGAAGTGATATGAATAATGTCATAGAGCATACAAATCGAGTGCATTGCATGGTTCAATTCAAAACACCGCTCTACGAGTGAGGGAAAGTCCAGAAATTGGACGAGTAACAAGACCCGGTTTTGTACTGGATAGAGTCAAAAGCATTAAGCACTGGAAGAGTGTGTCGAGTCCACTTAATAAGATGTCTACACCGGCCACCACAAGACTCCACAAGTTTCATTAGGTTGCCTGACACGCGGTTCGAGCAACGTAATTAAAGTAGAAAGGGTGAGATAAGCAGCGGTGCCTCTATTAGGCCTAAACTTTGTGGAACCACTAAAAAGAGATTGATTATCTGACACCACACCCGATTCCCGCCGTCCCCAAGTGGATATAGATCGCGGGCCCGCCAAAAAGACAAGTAGTCGGTTTCGTGAGTGACAAACTTTTAACATACGGCACAGCCTCACCTAAGCCTCTGATCGGCTGAAAGATAAGTAGAGACAGTCACGTGTTTGGGCAGCAAGTATACGTATATATAGCATATCAGTCATTACAATCACGAGGGACTAGTACCGTACGTCGTAGACCCTAGCTGATTGTTTAAATTCAAGAATTTGCAGTCGGTCATATGTTCCGAAGTTCTCATTGATGCGGTGCCGATTCGACGTCCGAACAGAAGCTCGAAACTTAGCATGCATGAATTCCCAATATATATAACAAAAGTAACCCGTTCAGATATAGCTTCCGAAGTTCGTTGAGACAACTCTTATGAGATGGCGGCCGCGGACGGGCCCGTTGTTGCCTTGGAAACTCAAGCATCGATCTTTCTTTTGAACCCAGCGCGCGCACATACTAAGGGTCGCAAACGCTACTGAGCTGTAGACGGGGCCGCGGGACAGATCACCAATTCTGACGGCCTTGATCATCAAATCGTGCCGGGCCGCCCGAGCAGCGCTGGCAGGCCGCCGTGCGCTATAAAGCACTGAGGCGCTACCGTACCGAAAACCGGGCGACCAGGAAAGCAGGGGAGAAAAGCAAGGTGCACGCTGCCTGACTCAAGCTAGTAGTCGGGAAGAGTCGAGTTGAGGTACATGGTATAGTTCAACGGTTGTTACGTTGGTCTCACCTCACGTCGTCCTGCAAAGCTTGGAATACTTGAACCAGCAGCTCTCATGGCGGGGTGTGCTGGATTACCGCCTCATGTCGCGCTCTAATATGCAAGGTGTCTAGTGTCGGACCCGTATGTTGAAGATCTTTGTCTTTCGATGCTACGAAATTCCAAAGCACATGAGCGGGTAGATCTGATCCCCATCCGATCGCGGACTGAAATTGATTAGACAGCTCAGTATCCCGACAGATCGACACCACTGCCAACGAAGTTCTGTGCCGGGCTGAATATTGCCTAGGCTCCTTCAAGTTGTGCAAGACAGTCATGAATCAGCCAAGAATATGAATAATACTTTCATACTGTTGAGAAACATTGCCGCCTGCAGGTTATCGGTGAAGCACAGGCGCTGCGTCCTGGACATGGACGAAAAGTCGAAAGGAGTAGCTGCCGCACTGTGTACTTACGTCAAAAAAGCCGCCAAGTCAAGTCTCCTCGGGACCGGAGTATCCTTGAATTCCCGGGCCTGGACTTCAAGTTCGCAATGCTCACTAGCTTTCCGCTCCAAAGAATCCTGGTGACTGTGATTTAGGATTTGCCCTCCGGTTTTGTTGTCCGGACTTCGCTCGCGGACGCCTTGACGTGTGTTCCTGCAGGTCATCATGGCATCATTGTGCGTTAACGGGCGCCTTCCGTGATCCGGACGAGAGCTCGGGGACGCGTTTCGCTGGCCTTATGACCCACGGGCGGTTTCCGTGCCCCCGGGATTGCCCTCCCCGAGCAAGCTGTCTTCCGCCAGCCTGATGTCCGGCGTCCGTGCGGGGAACTCTCCTCGAGGGAACGAGCCGCGCATGCACGCGCAACTTTGTGGGTTGCGGCTCGGACGTCCGACCGAGGAGGATTGATTCCGCTTTTTCGGAGCGAATTGAGGCCTGGGAATCGAAGGCCTGTGCAGGCGAGAAAGTCTTAATGGGCTTGTAATAAATACAAGATTCCCGCCATTCCGGGATTTCCTCCTCATTGAATATAATGAGTCTCTACGGATATATACGTATTCCTCATTATGCTCATCCCGGTCCCCCTCTACCCGGGCCCTCATCGCCCTCCTCCGCCTCATTATGCTCATCCCCGGTCCCCCTCTACCCGGGCCCTCATCGCCCTCCTCCGCCTCATTTCCCTCGGTGAGGGAAATGAAAAGGGTGAGGGTGAAGGCTACCGACCAAAAAGACAATACGCCCCGGGGAATTTTCTGCATTTCATTCAATCAATACCGTAAAGAAGCCAGAGAAGGATGTCCATCGAATCGTGTCATCGACGGTGGACGGCGAGCCATTCTGTGTTGCACGGCCCACAGACAATTCTGATCACGATTCCCCAGTTTACCGTATATTGAAAATTAGAAAGGTTTTGGGCTCTCCAGGAACTGCAAGGGTAAACCGTGGGCCGCCCGTGTCCCTCAAGCGTGGCAAAGCATTTGCCATTCATGAGCGAGACTCAACAGGCCCACAGGTCGAGACAGCCATCTCTCCCTCTGCAGCCCGTTTTGCAGAGATTTTGCATACATGTACGTGAGAATAGAGGAAGATGGATTGGTGCAGGCGAGGGTGGATCAGGCTGCAGGGATTTGGCCAAGCCAATGGCCTTGTAGATGGCATGGCACATAGGATAAAGAGCTAGCTGCTTGCTCTTCCTGCATCAACACTATAAGTTGTCTTGCTTGTTGGTACGCGGGATTTGGTCGGAGCCACCCCCCCCCCTTGTCTCTTGTCCTCCAGAGCACAGGGGACGTCAGACCTAGACATGTCTGCCAAGAAGCAAAAAATTGGGGATGTGGGCGCCTCAAATCCTATGGGCAGAATTGACGCCGTCGCAGCGCCCTTGCAATTGATGAGCTTTTCTATGCTCTTGGACTGCCTCAAGCTGTTCCCGCAGCCATTTCCACTCCGAACTGAGATCATCGCTTCCATTCTCAACAGCAGTCTGCCACCGGACGACAAGGTTGATAGGGTAGTTATAAAGAATGTGATCGACAAGTTGAAGGGTGCATCTGGCGATCTGGCCCTTCTCGCGGGCGCAAAGCGCCCAGCTGTTGAGGAGATTGCGAGTAACGAGTCAGTGCTCTTTGTTGCGTTTCCTCAGTTATCAAAGTGCTTCTTATGCTCTGAGCCACTCAGGTGGGTAGACGAGGCCAAGCCCAGACGGCCATTCTTCTTTCCGTACGCTGGCCCCCCGGGCAAAGGGATTCTACAGGAGAAATTCTGTCCTGGCTGCAAAGCACTTTTCTCGCTCAGTTATTACTGCCCACCAGGGTCTCAGGTCAGGCGGCCGTACTCCGCTGCGCACGACGACGACACCTGGCTGGAGTTGACAGGAGAGACGGTGATCAGCAAGGAGCTGCTCAGACGTCATGACCAGAACTTGTGAGCGTCCTCTCCTTCCGCCCCCTGTCCTCTCCCTGTCCTTCTCTGACATGTCCTTCTTTGATCACTCTTTCTGCTCCTGCAGATTCATACAGGATAACGAGCAACACCCACCATCAAGGAACCAGTCGATGGCACATTCTGGAAGGTTTTCTCTGACAGCATCCTCAAAACAGCACCAAGAACAATGTATCTCAGGTTTCGTTTGGGGGATGGACAGACTCAAGGACACGCTTATTAACAGTGCTGCTCTCCAATCAAGGTTCATGTAGTTGTTTGCATGTAGTTACAGGCTAGATGCTTGCGCTCAGGCCTGTTTTGACCACATCTGCAGGTACTATATGCATGCAAGCTTTGTCTCAGCCGTTCGCGCGCACAACGCTTCGTTTGACCTGGACCGTTTCTCGGAAGAGCCTGGGGCAGCTCTTGAGCGGCTGCGGCGAAGGCGGTCCCTCAGAGGTTGTTTAAACAGGGAGCGCTTTGAGCACGCGTACTTCCAGTTCTGGGCGGTTCGTTTCTGCCAAGAGCACAGTCCAAGCCTACTAGAAGAAATAGATCTGCGCGAGCCAATCGACAACATTCTGAGCGGGCTCAGCGATCCGTTTTGGTGCCATTTGCGAGACGAGGCCCTCGAGCACAGCAAGAAGTGTGACCACGAGCTGTGCGGAAGGTATTGTCACTTCGATGGCAACGCGAAGGTCTTTCGAAGCTGCTGTGCAAAGAAGAATGAAACTCTCTTCCAAACTGCAATCGGCCGTGTTGTGAAGGGTTGCCCCAAAACCCCCGTGAAAAACAAAAAGTACTGCCGGCTTCATCAAACCACAGCACAAGTTCAAACTGCAGACCATGGCGACGGGGGGGCTCAGCCAGGGGCACGGCCAGGGCATTTGGAAGGAAGCCAGGGCGGAGGAGGGGAGGGTCAGGGCGACCGGGGGGGTCAGCCAGGGTCACGGCCGGGGCATTCAGAAGAAAGCCAGGGCGGAGCAGGCGCAGGTCAAATTGCAGAGGCAGCGGGGGGTGATGTGGAGGAGATCGACCTTCGCGACCTTGATAGTGACGATGAGCTGGAGGAAGAGGAAGACTTGGAAGACGAAGAGGGCGTCGAAGGGAAGCAAGGCAACGCTTCAGGCGGAGGGGGCTCGGGGACTGAGGGTTCGGTGCCGGTAGCAGAGAAGTGGGATACGGAATCGGGGCCGGTGTCTCTGCGGACACGCGGGAAGAGGCGCCTGTTGCGGGACGACAACTCTTTGTACGAGGCGGAGAGAATAGAGATGCACCAGCTCAAAAACGGGGTGAGCTCTGTCTCCTATCAACCCTAAAGTTTTAGAGTCTAAGTTTGAGTGACTGTTGGCACCTGCTTGGCATGCGAGGGTCCATGCTATGATCTTCTGAAGCGACAACCAAGCTGTCGAGAAGTTCCGCCACACATGCTGCCAGAGATCTCCGGAATGGGAGAGGGTGTCAGAATGCAAGATAATGAGTACAGACAAGTGCATCTTAGTCAATGAAGCGCAGCATATACTTCAGCCTGTTACTACTGTTGCTCTTCCCAGGTACCAATCTACCTCGTCAAGTGGAAGGGTTGTCCAGCTGCTGAGAACACGTGGGAACCCGAGGAGAACGTGACCGTCATCAACAGAGACCTCCTTGACGAGTACCTGCGCTCACAACCCAAAGGTAAGTGTCAACATCTTGGTCCAAGCTCTCCTGCTCGGATCAGTTTCTGAAGCTCAATTGAACATGCACGACAACAAGAGCTTGATCCTGTTGAAGCAGCCACTGCCGACCCTGGTGCAAGCTCACTGCGTGGATTAAGTCTTCGAGTCTGAGTCCAAGTTGGTGCTGGACCATTGCGGCTCCAGATTTCTGCGAACATTTTCCTCCAGATGATTTCTATACACGCGACCGGAAGGACCAGGAACCAGATCCGGCGCCAGAAGACGATGCTGAGAAGCCGCGCCGTAAGAGCAAGCTGACGGCCTGCACCCCCCGTACGAGCTCAGACGGACGTGGCGTGACGGCCGGCACGCTGGTCGCGTTCTGGGCGTGCGGCTACATGTTCCCCCCCCTGGAGTTAATTCTCTCGGAGTCTACTACCATGGTGAGTCAGGGCAACACGAACCTCCTTACGAGAGTGTTGATGCTGCGTTACTTCTGATCTGTACATCAGCACCCAGCTGTGAGTCGAGCTCTCACAAAAATGGTTCAAGATGATGATCCCAGGATCTGCAGCACTGAGCTTTGATGCCTCCGACAATCAGTTGGCTCTGCGTTTGCATGGCGTCCGCCTACACTAGGTGATACATGCTATGTTCCTTCTGATTTCAGGTGCACCACTACATGATGCTTTTGTTTGCACATGAGCACCTGCCCGAGTTCATGGGCATGGACGACATGTGCCACTGGGCACGGTTCGCCGCGAGCGGCGACAGGACCACGTTGAGCGACAAGACGCGCGAGTTCCACGAGGAGACCAAAAAAGTCGGTAAGGCTTTACCTCACATTAAGTTGGTTCCTTTTAACACATCTTGCAACACAGCGCGCGGTAGATCGCGCAGGGTTCTGCCAGGGGGGGTTCCGTTTGGCCTTGGTCAGTACCCCCCCTTGGGACAAGCGCTAGTCTTGTGGTGCGGCAGGCGCCACGCGCTTACGTCACGCGGTAAGTTTTGCACGTTCTGCCAGGGGGGGTTCCGTTTGGCTTTGGTCAGTACCCCCCTGAGGAGAAGCGCTGGTCTTGTGGCGCGGGAGGCGCCG